TAAAGGTCATCTAGTCCAACTCTCCTGTTGGGGACAGGGACATCTTCTGGTAGACCAGGGTGCTCAGAGCCCAGTCCAATCTGACCTTTAATATTTACAGGGATGTGGCATTCACCACCTCTCTGGGCAACCTGTTCCAGTGTTTTATTACCCTCATTGTAAAAAACTTCTTTTTTCTATCTAATCTAAATTGACTCTATTTTAGTTTAAAACCATTAAAGGTCACCCTTAATGGATCCATTTAGTTCAGAGAATTTGCTAGTCTGATGTCTACACAGACATTAACCTGAGATAAGAACTGATGTCTCCATTATAAAATGTGAAATGTGAGAAAAAGATAGGGAAGGTATGTTTTCTTCCATTTGCAGATGTTTGGTTTGTGTGACAAGGGGCTAAGAGAAAGGCTTATAAAAAGCAATGATGCTCCTCAGGGGCAGAGGCATAGGACAGTAAAATCAATCTCATGTTTCTTAATGAGCTCTAGGTCTCCATCTAATTTTAATTGTCTGCCTGGAATACTAAAATACTTTCAGGCACTTATATTCTGCTCATTATTAATAAACAGCATATAACACTCAAGATGTTTTCTTCCATTTCCTGCCTCATTCTGATTTATCCATTATGATTCTCAGTTCTACAAGAATGTGAATTTTCTTTTATTATGAATCTCAAAAACATGCCATTTTCTATGAATGATATGACATCACACAGGAAGGGAAATATATACAAAATGGCATGTTTTAAACAAACATAGAAGAAAAAGGGTTTTTCTTTGGGGACATAATTTAATAACCAATTTTTTTCCCCTTCAGCATTCACAAGACCTAAAGTAGAATGCCATTGTTTGAACTTCCAGCTTTACTTCTGTAATTGACAAAATCACTTTCTGACAAATGGCTTGTTAAACCAGAACATGTGGAAGGCAAGCTGTGTGCTTTTGAAACTACACAGGCTTCCTCTGCTGGAAGAAATACACAGCTGCAGGGTTACCCATGGCATCTTGAGAGGAAGAAAGGCTCCATCACAAACTTTGTAGAAGGGACACCCTTTCCAAAGGAAATTTAAATTTCAAAATTTTGGTGAAAACAGAGAAAACACCAATGTTTTGTAGGTGTATCATTGCTGCATAGTTTGGAAGTAGACTGGAAACTAATCTTGTGGTGCATACACAACCAAAAGGCAGGGAAAATATTAGTCCTGGACAACACAGGGATATTTTTGGTTATTTACAGGGAAATGAGCTTTTATCACTAAACATATATATATTTTTTTTAATAAAATTGCATCCTACCCTTGTCTGGTTCCTTGGCTCATTCCTGGGAGAGTAAGTTGCTGTTTGAGCAGATCTCCCAGAAAGGAAAGCCGAAAGGACTGGGCATTGATTTGAAAAGAGAAGCATAGTCAGGATGACTCAGTGTGCAGAAATGAACGTTAATTATACCTTCGGGGTTTAATTCACTGATTTAGGTATGTCATACTTATAAAGTTTTCCCAGAAAGCTGCTTTTCTGTAGGGCCACATTGAGGATATTTACAGCACTCATATTCTGACATTCTTCAACTCTGCTGAAGGAGCACATTTCAATGCTGAACCCCCATCTGCTGGCATGTCACTCAGCAGTCACTGAGATTTTTCTTTAACTCCTTGGGCTTTCTTTTAGTTTCTTCCTCATGATAATGGGCAATATAAGACTTGATTTTCTTTAGTCTCTTTCCTAGCTCATTCATGGATATGCTGAACAAGATGGGTCCCATACTGGTCCTGCAACAGCCTACTGGTAACACCCCCCACCCCCCACTGTGAAAGGTTTTTGTCTTTTTCTTTCCTCTCTGTGGTCAGTTAGAGACCCGTGTGGGGACCTCTGCTCCTCCCCCAGGAATACTTACACTCTTAAAGGTCCATTTGTGAAGAGCCTTGTGTGCATTGTGTGATACAGGCAAGAGTCACGTGTTTGCTATTATAAATTTAAAAAGAGCTGGGTTCCTGCCGCACCTTTCATCTTAGAAAACACCAATGACCTTACATTGTTCATTTGAGAAGTTTAAGTCTTTGTCAGTAAGGAAAACATCTTTTCTTCACAGGTATTTATAAGCAGAAGTTCACAGTCACAGCCTCTACAATTATGTAATTATATTTTTCTTTTGTAACTCCTCTCTTACCGTTGGAGACTGAAATGCTATAATTCATGGCTTAAACATAACTAGCAAAGCAGAAAATCTCTGCATATTCGAAGTATCATGTTCAATTGAAAGCAAACCAGTTATTGAGAAATTGTCACTTAAATAAATTGAATCTTTGAATGCTGGGAACATCTGGCTCCAAAAAGGTACACCAGGGAACTGCCTTAATGGTAAGAAGTGTTTATTTTTGAAGTCTTAGTCATTGTATTGAGATGGTTGGCTAGCACAACATCTAACCATTCTGTTTTTAAAAAAGATTTCTGCAAGACTAGCCTTACTTTGGATTATAATACACAAAATCTAGTTTTCTCAGAAAAGATTAAAAAAACCCACAAAAGGTTGAGAAAAGGAGAGGAAAATTTGAAAGGCTTCTGTTACTTAGTCTGTGAGATGGAGTTGAAATTTAGACTGAAAGACTAGCATTTACAAAGTGAACAGCAAACACACACATTAATTATTTTAAAATTACATTCAAAACTATTAAAAAAAATTCCTACAAGTTCTGGGAGAAATTGGAAGTGTATCAGAACATGAGATGCAGTATAAAATTTAGAAGCTGACAAGATATTGACCTTTTAATACATTGTTCTGACTTCATTAGAACTTAACTTGGACTGGTATCTGGTTTATGACTGAAGAGTTTTGAATCTGCTCCATTGCTTTCCTGCGTTTATTCCATGTCTCAAGCAGTTATTTTTTCAGGCACAGAATCTTGTTGAACATATATTGCAGAACTTCCAAACCTTGAGATGAAATTAATCTGTGATGGCATACAAGCAAAAGGAAGACCTCACGGTGGCCCCAGGCCAGAAGCTTTCATGGTGGAAGTCACTTCAGAGCAGAATACAAACTTTTATGTGCTTTGAGCTAGAGAATCTACAACCTAACTGTAGAAAAGGAATTAACAAGATAAAACAGAATCACCTCTACCAAGCCAAGTGTATATTCCTTGTGAAAATTGTTTAAGTCCCAAAGAATATACTCATGGACATAAAATAACAGTTGTACACCTTTCATAATACAAAAGAGAAGACTTGAGTACCTTCTTTATTTTGACTCCACACTGAACATGCAACTGCAGAAAAAGTAAAGCAGTGGATAAAATCTGTATCTTTATGACTATATACATAAAAAAAAAATAAAACTGCATAGGCAATGGTAAAACTCACATTTTCTCAATGAGGATTTTAAATATGTGATGTAACAAAAGTGCAATGATATTCATTAGACAAAGAAAAGGTTCACTAGTAGCCCGCTGACTTTCTCCCTAACAAGCTAGAAAAATTTACTGCAAACAGGGGAGTGACCATGGAGATATTAAACCCTTTTTTTTTAAAAAAAAAAATTGCAAAAATGCTTTAGAAAACAGTCTAAATAGAGAGTTTTGATACTGATTCTCGTGATCGTTATTTGATTTTTGATAGAGGTAGAACACAAATTACAAGATTTTACATTTCTTTGAAAATTACATACCAGTAAACAGTAGAAACTTGTTTATGTTTCCTGAGAGCCAAACCACACAGAATCTGAACTCCATCCTCCATTAAGGAACTTATCAACTCCTTCATGAACAACCGAAAAAAGAATTCCAGTAATTCAATTTTCTATACAGTTTCTAGCCATAATCCTTTCCTGTTTCACTGTAGTCACGGGCTGGTATATTTAGTTTATTTTCTCAGGTAAAAAAAACAACGTGCTTGTGTGTGGGCACACTTACTTGCCTGCATAAAGCTGTTGGCTAATTTTATTTGAGTAATACTTTGAGGCAGAGATCTTAGGAACATTTATGTGTCTCCAAGTTTCATGAAAACCAGATCATGTAGCATTAACTCAGCCCACACAGGACAACAAAGAATATTGTAACTACAGAAGAAACTTCAGGGAAAGTTCCAACCACTTTTAAATAAGGCTATTTTCTATTTTCAAGTGTTTCTTGCAGGTAAGAGATTTGTACAAACTCTAGTGAATTATCTAATGAAAAGCAACTTATGGTAGAATAGATGCTCACATCATTTTAAAAAAAACACTCGAAAAGACCGAACCTCGCTGTTCTATGGATCCCAGCCCCACCGGTTTCAAACGCTTTAACAATCGTGAAACGACCTAGTTTTTTGTGCCGGAGCGGAAAAAGGGGAGAATTTTAGGGCATTCCACGGCACATGGGAAGTTGTGTGACTGACTGTTAAACTCCAGTTGTAACAAAGAAGAGAACATTGTCGAGTTCTCAGGAGATTTGCATGCATGCAGAACTTCTGCGTGGGAGAGACCTCAGTGCTGACCCACTCTGCTCCCGTTTAGGAGCTACAGGAGAAGCACGCCTGGCATGCTGGCTTGGGGCTTCTACAGCTTCTGACAGGAAGTCAAGCGCTTCCTGGCACCGCAGGCTCCAGCGGAGCGCCGGCGTTGCGCTGCCTTCCGCGGGGCGCCGGGCGAGCGGCGGGGCGCCGAGGCGAGACGGCCCCGGCACGGCGTGTGGGGCCCGGACCCGTGTGTTGAGCCCCGGCACGGCGTGTGGGGCCCGGACCCGTGTGTTGAGCCCCGGCACGGCGTGTGGGGGCCCGGACCCGTGTGTGGAGGCCCAGCACGGCGTGTGGGGGCCCGGCCGCGCCCACGGCGGCGGGCGGGCAGGTACCGCGCCGCGGAGGCGGGGCCGCCGCTGCCGCTCCGCCCCCTCCTCCTTCGCCTCCTCCTCTCGCCCCAGGTTTGTCATCGTGTCGCCTGCCCGGCCCGGAGGAGGAGGAGGAAGAGGAGGAGGAGGAGGAGGGATGAGGAAGCCGCTGCTGCCTTTGCATCCGTGACGGGGGCCTGGAGAGCCCGGACTTGGGACGGCCCCTTTCCTACTGCTCGCCCAGGAGAAGGGCCAGGAGGTGGCGGAGGACGGTGGTGCTGTGTGTGTGAGAGAGCGTGGAGATGAGCTTAACCCTGTGCCCTGGAGCCGCTTGAGGAGACCCGGCTCCCTCCCAGCCTCCCTCGCCGCCGCTGCCGCCATGGCTCACTCCCCCGTGCAGGCGGGGCTGCCGGGGATGCAGGTGAGCAGCTGCCCCAAGGGCAGGCACGGATGCGCACCTCGGGCTAGGGTGGGTGTACGGGGGGAGATTCCCGGGGCTGGGGGGACAGGGCGAGGGCAGAAAGCGCCTCTTGGCTCTGGCTCGGCCACGGGGGCTGGGCTGGGGGCAGGGGAGCGGGATGGAGACGAAACGTGCTGTCAGCGCATGGCGTGGTGCCCAGCGAGGTCCCTGCGCCCGGTGGATCCGTGCCTGCCTCTGCCTCCCTCCATCCGTCCTCGGCAGCCACTGTCTCGCTGCAGGCGAGCGGAGCGGAGCGTGTGGCCCCCTCCCCCGGCCGGGAGTTCTCCTCGGTGTTTTTAATTCCTAAAATGAACCCCGGATCAGTGGGCGATTTTCGGCCCCATTAATTTGAGGTGGGTAGGGGAAGCATACGGAAAACCAGCCTGTACAAGCAGGGCCTGGAAATGTTGACCTTCAGCGCATGCTGCAGTGCCCATGGCTGTGGTGCTGCTCCGAGGTGGGTGCTCGGGAATCGTGTTTGGCTCCTGGGTTTGATTCCAAGAATCGGTCAGCTGCTGTTGTTATACGGTGGAATTTGAGCGTTCTGTGTCTTAATTGTCTATATTTGAAATAACTAGTGCGGTTTTGTGCTGACTGAGCTGGCTTCCCCCGCCCCCCCCTCGTTTTTATTGGTTTAAATGGAAACTGCTGCCAGGAAAACATTAAGGTCATTGGTATCTGTGTGTTGTTATTCTAATATTTCCCACATCTGATTAGAAAAAGATTAGAAACTTTCTTGCCCTTATCTACAAAGGAACAACTTATGAATGGCATGTAAGAGTTTCTCTCGATTTCTCTCCTGGATTGAAAGTGTTTGTGCATCATTTGGTTTAAGTATTGATTTACCCTGGTTTGTTTTATTGTGAGTCAAGATTCTGAGTCATGAATCTCTTTTCTTTGCAAAATCTGAGGATTTGGATTGAAAATGTTACATGCTTGGGCATCACATGAATTATATGCTCATACATAATACTGAATACCCCATAGCTTATGCAGGCCTACTCTCTGAGCAAATTAATTTATTGCTGTGTAGATCCTGCTGTTAAGAGTTCAAGTTCACCTTTGAAATATGAGCAGTTTGTTGAATGCCAGAGACAGAGAAATGAGGGTTTCTTGATTGACTGTGGATATTGTTTGGGCTTTATACTTTCTTTTTTTTTTTTTTTTAATACCTTTGAGACAACTGTCTACTTTGAGACAGAATCTATAACACTTTAGCATTTAAAAGTCAGATTTCTAGCTGCTTGGAAGTGAGAGAATGAAGATTATTCATCAGTATGCATGTACTGATGATGTATGTCACTGCATGATCTGAGGACCTGTGCTTTTTATTGACTTGATTCATTATTTCGTTTTAGAGTACTGTTAGCTGTACTAAATGGGTGGATCTTCAGGGTTCTTGTTAGTCCATGTAATTTGGGACTTTGCTTCAAATAGTTTTATTCAAAATGGTGTTACTATTCTCATGATTTTTGTTCTGTTACTATGAGAGTTGCTCAAGTGTGAACTTTCATTGTCTAAAAAAACCCCTGAGAACACCAAACTAGAGATTGCGGATAGGTAGAGGCATAAAGTCTGTGAGCAATGTGAAAGCTGCTCACTAATTTTCTGTGCCCAGTTCAAGATGTCTATATCTATTTCCATGCTGTCAGAATATGTAGCAGTTTTATAGCGGTCTGTTTTCAGTACACAGTTCTCTTTGATTTTACTTCCAAATAAATGTTCAAAGAGTAAAGTACATACAATGAGTGACATCTACTTCTTAGATAAGAAAAAGATTTGTGACTTTTTCATTGTGTAGAAGAGAGGAACAGAGCTTAGTTCTCTGAGTTATAATTAAATTGCCTAAATCACGGGACTGTGTCTTCTTTTTCTGTAGTGTGATCCCTCCTCCCCACCTACCAGCTTCTGCCACAAATGGTAGAAGCAGTGTCAGTGACAAGTTATGCAGCTTTCTGACAATCTTTGCTGTACTTACACAAGAGAGCAGCCATCGTGCCTGTGTGAGCAGAGTAACTTCTTGACCCCAAAAAATCACTTGGAGGGACATCACTTTATTAATGCTGTTTGGTGTGAGCACGATAGTGTCAATAGAGAGAAGAATGAAGGACTAATATGTTTCTCCCTGAACAAGATGTCTGATCGATGTTTGAAGAGTGATGCATAAAAAGTGAGTGGGTGGAGAGTGAGCCAAAGGAATGAAAAACTGTGGAGGAAATGTAGGATGGTGCTGGAAGGTTGTCAAAATCTGAGATGTGCTGTCTGCTGCACAGTGGGCATGTTGTAACCTGAGTAAAAACAGAGTTGGATTTTGACCTAAATTTCTGTGCAGTTTAAGTTTGGACTCGAAGTTTTTGTTGTTGTTTTAAGGGCTCTGTGTACATATGAGTTTGAGTGTGCAGGGTGAAACTGCGTCAATACTAAACTGAAGATGTGTTGTCTTTCTTCTTCATGCCGTATGGACGTGGCCTGGGGAGAGTGTGTGTTTGCCTGTAAATGTGTGAGATTCCTGCAAGGCTGGCTTGGAGTAAGTGTATATGACCTTGATTTTCAGACTGGCCTGCATTTCAAGGCTGTGGTAAGCTTCTGAAGCTTCTTTATGGAAGCTGTATTTTAAATAATCAAGTACTGTGTTTATAAATTTATGGTAATAAATTCCTGTGGTGCTTTTAAAATTCCATCATCTTTAAGACAAGCCTCTTCTGTGTGATAAACCCCTTTTTTTATCTTCCTCCCTTTTCAGTTTTTTTTTTTTGTAGCAATAACAGTGTTTATGCAGTAAGTTATTTTTATTCATTCTTCATTGTATTTTCAGTACAAGAGCTACAGGTTCTTCATGTAAAATTTAAATAAGGGTTGACATTCAAGCTGTCTTGCTTCAAGAAATGCTAGAAGTTTAACTGAGTTTAAGTGGGAACCTGACACATGAACAGAAAAGGTTGTATAAAGGCACCATTTCTGGCTCAGAAGGTGTCTGAAGTGTCAGTTTTCTGGAGACTGGAAGGGTGTTTTGGGAAATACTGCCATTTACTTGTCTATTTTTGCTCTGTTCCCAAGATGTTCCCTTCTGACTGTAGAAGTGTCCTGGCCTAGAGGATCCTTCGTTCTGATCCAGCACAGTTGTTCTTTCATAGTTATGCACTATAGGTATTACTGTCTTCCTTATTGTAACTCATTCTCCTTTTACAATAAACTGTTTCAAGTACTTCCTCTGTGAGCTCTGTGTTTGGTAACTGCAAAATATTGTGTTGCTAAATTGAAGGTACCGTGGAAAGGCCACTTAGCTTCTACTGCTTTCCATTTGCAGCTTCTGTGTAGGAAATCAGCATTCCCCAGTTTGATTTTTTTATTTTTTGAGAGTTTGTGCTCACTGTTACTGTTTATGGTATACTTTGACAAATACTATGCAGGAACTTACAGCACTTAAATACTGGACAGATCCTTGGACCGTTGTGATCTTGGCTAATTGGTTTTAAAATATCCTGAATACAGATGTCATGGTTCTGTGACATATTACAAGCTCAGCCCTCAGGTGCCAGGACAGAAGAGTTTTAATTGGTGAAAATGAAGTTGGACATCTTCTCACTCTGTAGCCAAAAGCTGTTTCAGGGCTATAGATGTATGGAGCTGTTTGAGAGGAGTCAGGAAAATCTATTTCCATTGTGTGCCCTTCCAGAACAGGTAAATAGATACAGCTTATGGTGACTGTGTGTTTCAGGTATCCTCATAGACCAGTCAGGCTGGCCCTGTGTCCTGGCAAGTTTCATGTACCAGTTTCATGTTTGAATAAGGTACCCTCTTATGATGCCTCAGCTGGCATCTTTGTTCCCTGGAGAGACAAAAGGCTACTGATGTAGTAAACGCATTTGAATATTGGGCCTTGTGTTATGAGTGTTGTACAAGGCTCTGATGTCAGCTTTTACATAGTGGCATCTTTTGTGTTTCTGAAGTAGAAAATACAAGTATGTATCTTGGCTGCATTTTCAAAATTTGCTTAAATTCTTCTCCTACTCCCTTTCTTGGGGGTGGGATGCAAAGGGGAATCAAGGATGCACTAAACACTGATTGACAAAGTCAACAAGGCATCTAATATAAATTATTAATAATGTAGAATACTGCATCCATCCTATAATAATTTGGTCCCTGCTCTACAAAAAAGATATGGTCAATTGGAGTGGGTCAAGAGAAGGGCCACAAAGATGACTGGAGGACTGGGAAGCCTTTTACATGGGAGAGGGCTGAGAGAGCTGGGTGTGTTTAGCCTTGAGAAAGGACAGCCCAGGTTGGAGACCTTATCACCATGTTCCAGTATTTAAAAGGTGTCTACAGAGAAGATGGAGACTCCCTTTTTACTAGGAATCACATGGAAAGAAGAGGGGTAAGAGGTACAAGTTACCCCTGGAGAGGATTCTGATTGGACACAAGAGGAAAATTTTTCACGATTAGGAGAATCAGCCATTGGAATTATTTTCTTGGGGAAGTGGTGGATTCCCCAATGCTGGACTCTTTTAAAACATGCCTGGACTGGGTGCTGGGCTACCTTGTCTAGGCTGTGCTTTTGCTGAGAAAGGTTGGACCAGATTTTCCTTGAGATCCCTTCCAACCTGGTATCCTGTGATTCTGTGATTGAACTTGATGTGGTTATTGCTTTTGTGATGATACACCTTTTGTGGAGTACTGTTTAATTCAGTGATGTTCTGTGTGCCTGGAAGTAATAATTTGTGTGGATGCAGCTATATAATCAAAACTGTTTTTACATGTAAGCTCTTTGTTGATCTGCATAAGTTTCCGTGTGCATATATGCACAAATGTCAGACTGTGCTGGTTTTACATTAGTATAGAACTAAGGGCCTTCAACAGTGTAAATTGATAAAAAGTGAGACTTGAATCAGGAGAACTTACTGTATTTTTAGTTGGCCCTGCTTGGCAGACATCTGGGTTTGCTGTCAGATACTATGGGT